TCTTCATAATCCAGTCGACCACCAGAAGAAAGAGGAAGGGAGAGAGTAAACAGCCTTGTCTGACTCCAGTCCTTACTTGGAATGCATCTGTCAGCTGTCCTCCATGCACTACTTTGCACTGTAGTCCGTCGTATGAGTTCCGGATAATGTTGACAATCTTCTCAGGAACTCCGTAGTGTCGAAGAAGTTTCCATAATGTCCTCCTATCTACACTGTCGAATGCCTTTTCATAATCAATGAAGTTGATGTATAGTGATGAGTTCCACTCCACTGATTGTTCGACGATGATCCGTAGTGTTGCAATTTGGTCTGTGCACGACCGATCCTTACGGAATCCAGCTTGTTGATCTCGAAGTTGGGCGTCTACTGCATCCTTCATCCGGTTCAGCAACACTCTGTTGAAGACTTTCCCTGGTATTGACAGTAGTGTAATGCCTCTGTAGTTTTCACATTTGCTCAGATCTCCTTTCTTTGGAATCTTGACGAGGTGTCCTTCTTTCCAGTCCATTGGCACTTGTTCCTCCTCCCAAATCTTTTTGAATAGAAGGTAAAGCATGCTTGTGGTTGCTTCGATGTCTGATTTCAGTGCTTCAGCTGGTATGTTGTCGGGTCCTGCTGCTTTCCCGTTCTTGATTTGTCTGACGGCCATTCTAATTTCTTCCGTCGTTGGTGGGTTGACATCTATAGGAAGATCTATGTGTGCTGCTTCGATGTCCGGTGGATTCATTGGAGCCGGCCTATTCAGGAGTTCCTCGAAGTATTCCACCCATCTGTTACGCTGATGTTGAATTTCGGTGATTGGCTTGCCTTCTTTGTCTTTGACCGGCCTCTCTGGTTTACTGTATTTCCCTGCTAGTTTCTTCGTTGTATCGTAAAGCTGTTTCATATTTCCTTCTCTAGCAGCTTTTTCTGCCGTCGTTGCTAGTTCTTCCACGTATTTCTTCTTGTCGGCTCTAATGCTCCTCTTCACTTGTTTGTTTGCTTCTATGTATTCAGCTTGTGCTTGAACTTTCTCTGCTCGTGTTCGGCTGTTGTTAATTGCTGCCTTCTTGTTCTTCCTTTCTTTGATCTTGTCCAGTGTTTCTATAGAGATCCATTCCTTATGATGGTGTTTCTTTAGGCCCAGAACCTCTTGACACGTTGAAGTTAATGCTTCCTTGATGCCTTTCCAGTTGTCCTCCATACTAGTTTCTTCTTCTTTCAGTAGATCTTGTAAGGCTTGGAACCTGTTGTTGAGAGCTATCTTGAATTCATTGAGTTTGTCAGTATCTCGAAGGAAGGCTGTATTGAACCTTTGTAGTGCTGTTGGTCCACTTGTCCAGTTCTTTTTTAGCTTCAGTTTTAAATTGGCTACAACTAGGTGGTGATCTGAAGCTACGTCAGCACCTCTCCTGGTTCTTACATCTTCCATTGTCCTTCGGAATTTTTTGTTGATGCAAATATGATCTATTTGGTTCTCTGTAGTGTGGTCCGGTGAGATCCATGTAGCCTTGTGTATACGCTTGTGTGGAAATATTGTGCCTCCTATGACCAATTTGTTGAATGCACATAGATTTGCAAATCTTTCTCCATTTTCGTTTCTCTGTCCCAGTCCATGTCGTCCCATAATATCTTCATATCCGGTGTTGTCTATTCCGACTTTGGCATTTAGATCTCCCATCAGAATAGTTAGGTCCTTTCTTGGCATTTCTCAATGATTGACTGTAGCCGCTCGTAGAACTGATCTTTAATGTCGTCGTTGCTATCATTGGTGGGTGCATAACATTGGATAATATTCATTAAGATCCCCTCCTTCTTTGTTTTGAATGATGCTTTGATGATTCTGGATCCGTGAGACTCCCATCCTACAAGTGCATTTCGTGCTACTTTGGACAGCATAAGAGCGACTCCCTGAGTGTGTGGAGCATTGTCCTCCTCGTGACCGGAGTATAGCAGCATCTCTCCCGTAGCTAGCCTTTTCTGTCCAGCTTGGGTCCAGTGGGTTTCGCTGATTCCCAGTACTGCTAAGTTGTATCTCCTCATTTCCATTGCTATTTGACTGGTCTTCCCGGTTTCCCACATTGTTCGAACGTTCCATGTACCTATAAAAATTTTTGCTCTGGTTGTTAGAAGGGGCATCGGCCTCGTGGCTTCCGAAGGAACTCGGCTTTCACCATGAAGCGTCATAATTCTTCTAACTGAAGACCTTCTAACTCCCAGGGCAGAGTTTAAATGGTTTGAATAATTTTTTCTGGTAAGCGTTTTTTTAGCGAGTTAGTTTTCTACGGGATGGGGACGCTAACCCCATGCCCAACCCTCCTCCTTTACCCGGGCTTGGGACCGGCAGTAACCCTATTAGAGCTACAGGCGGAGTTGCACTATTTAACGATCAATATAATTGTACGCTATGGAAATTTGAGATTTCATTTATACCTTTCGATTCCCCATTGTGTTTACTGATAAATGTAATTCTGTTAATTATACACTTTAATTATCTACATTCAAGTGGAATAAAAAAATGTCGAATCATTGGAATAAGTTTATTGTTTCAGTGAAAAACTATATCCTTCCTTTAGAACAACTTAAGTCATGTTTGGGAAAGAGGCTTCACTAAGAAATATCATAAACAAATTTCAATGAACAATGTAGAATTATAATAAACTAACTTTCATGTATCATCTTTACTTTGATAGATTCTTTTAAACGTGATACATTTTCAGTGTTATAGACTATATGAATAAACTTATACCACCAGAGATTTAACCATTGTGTACAAAGTAAATATTTTCAAAATTACTCTTTATGTTTATAAAATTTCCAGTAATAATTAAAACTAATGCTGTACGTTACCGAGTAAGACGTGCAATACAACTTAAATGTCAATGATCTACTTTTATTCAAAGAAACTAGTGTTGTAGACAAACAACAACTTCTAAAAACAAATACAATGTATGATATTGATTGTGTATTTATTTATTTTACACGAAAACTAAGATTTCAGGATAGTTATTCATTAATCATTAATTGAATATCTGGAATTCTCCATACATGAATAAGCATACATGATGCTACATGTATTTTAAGTAGTAAGAAATTTTAAAACAATTAATGTAAGTCATATTAATTGTTTCTTTTTTTTTCTAATTTTCAAGCACTTTGGATAAGATAATGTAATGTAAATTTGTAAGAAGGATGTAATGTACTTTAGGTAGGTTTCTTTTCTTAGATGACCACAATGAATAAAAATGAATAAATTAATATGATGACGCTTTCAGATGAATAAAAATCTTATTTTATGACAAGCTAAATGTCAGTTTTATGTGAAAATTGTATTTGAAATATTCTCAGAGATTGAAATTTAACTAATTCCAACGTTTCGTCCAGCTAACTTGTCTGGACTTCTTCAGGGTAATAATCCAGACAAGTTAGCTGGACGAAACGTTGGAATTAGTTAAATTTCAATCGCTGAGAATATTTCAAATAAAATTTTCGTATATAATGACTTCTCTATACGCGGCGCCCAATTACTGTCAAACTATTAGCTCTAATCTTGACGAATATTCGTATAAATGTCAATTTGTTTTTCTTTTTTTTTCATACATTTTTTGCATTGTCTTTCTCCTGTAGACAAGTTACTTTTCTCCCCCTTTATCCAATTCTTCTATTTTAAATCTTGCTGACTGTGAAGATTATGTAAAAATTAGTGAATTAGTTTTAAGCGAGATATCAAACTGTACACAAATTTTTACTGTTTATGATCAAATAATATGTAAAATATTTTTGAATATTCCCAGAGGGATATCAAATATTCTTAATCTACATTCAAGAGTACGAATAATGATTGTATTGGAGTAGGTTCACAACCAATACTTCCTTTATTTACAATTAGTAGAATTATAACCTAAATATGACTCAATAAACACAATGAATAGCTACTCACTCTTCGTTTTTCTTTTTATTCTGCCACTAGGATTTTAAGAATGAGCTTAATTATCAATAACTTTCTCATTAGTAAAACGTGAAACTTCACGACGAAAGTTAACCCTTTAAAATACATTTTGATCAGCTACTATTCATAAATACAAGGTTACTAAACTTAAGTTAGTTCTGTCTGGATATTTACAATGATGCGAAACTTTTAGCCACCTTTCACTTTCTGTCCATTCATGGAATATCGTATTTGATGGTTATGTAAGCAATATAAATGAATATGATCACATTTCATCATATTAGATCGCAGATTTTCTCCAATACGTAAGGACACCTACTGTAATGATAAAAGTAGCTGCTTCTATCAAGTTAGCCCCTGCTTTAAACTAGCGAAATCTTATGTTTTGTTACACACTAGATTTCCAAAAAATCATTACGGAAATATGTAGGGATTGTGATTGGTTACTGAATATGTTAGAAGTTTGATACTGACTCAGACAAAATTACCTCGTTAACAAAATGTAAACGAAAATGAAATTTACTTTGTTGTTAACCGACTCAACAGCTGGCTAATTGAAGCTGTAATCCAGGATATTACCGAACGGCGTGGCTACAAGTAGAGTATGCTACGTCGCCAATGATAATCTAGACATTTTAGAGTTACATTAGTTCTATAACTTTAAACTTGGGGACAGTCCATTGGATGCTACATTCAATCTCATTACAGTCAGAAACAAGGGTATTACACACAAACTGTTGCTCATGGTAATGTCCATAATTATGAACCTGGTATCGCCTAAAGGAGTTGTCGTTAACTAATATGGGCAAGAAATCTTCGAAATTGGAGTGAATGGAGAGAAATAGGTCTACTACAAAAATCGACTTCGCAGAAGATTCTTCGAAGACGATTCATGAGAATCACACTGATCCTCCACCGACATCCTCCTGGATATCATGAAATTCGTACCATTTCTTCTATTTGAACTGCTCATTAACAAAAGAGTATACAAAAATTCAAGAAAACAGTTAATTTATCAATACTATTCTATTTATTTATGGAAGTTTTTTATGAGTGAAGCAGTAATGAATATGGCAAGTTGCTGGGAGAAAAAGTGAAATTATTAAGAATGAAACTGAACAAAAAGTATAAAAATAACTATAAACTGATGCTTTCTTCCAGTTGAATATACTTCTTTCGGTTTATAGTTACTAAAGAGAAAATGAAATAGAAAAATAAGCCAGATAGAATATAAACTCATCAATCTAAATATGGTCTCCAAACATTTTGTTCTTCCTTAGTTTGATGAACCTCTTCATGATAATGATTAGTCTGTTTCTGTTTTTTAAAAGATAAATCAATTATTTGTTCATAAGCTTCATTTTCCACTGGTTGACTTGTATTACAATAGTTTCGTTTAGATATTCGTTGTGACATTTGTAATAACTGTTTTGATTGTGTACAATTTATTGATTGTATATCTTCAACATCTTCAATACCACTGTCTAGAGACTGTGAATATGATGTAGTAACTACTGATTTAATATTTTTATTATTATCTGTTGAAGTTTTCAGTGTTTTCATTGAAATTAAAGGAGTTGAATGAAGTTTTGCATTGAAATACTGAAATGAATTATGGTTAGTCAATTGCGATGAAATATCATTAGAAATGGAAGTATTTAATGAATTACATTGTTTGTTCATATCATAATCATTAGAATTATCATTCGAATATATTTTCAAAGGATGATTATATGGAATATAATTGCCTAAATGAAATTTCTCGTTACTGTTATTATTCTCATCATTACTGATATTGTGTTTATTTTTTGATCCACTAGAATGATTTGTGATTAATTTATCGTAAAATTTATCACGAAGTTGATGTACACGTTCAAGTATATCTGAAGAAAATGAAAGAAAAACAATATGTAATATTATTCAAATAAACTTTTTTATTACATAACTGATTCATAGTAAAGTTAATTCATTCTTAAAATGCATTACATTTTGTGTCTGAATATGTCGATTGTGTTGGCACTTGTCATAAGTTATCTCCAGTAATTTAAAGTGTTATGGCCTGTGAAAAGCTACATCAATCTTTCTTTTCTATATAAAATCCTTCTTTTTAATATAGGGCACTCACATAACAACTCTTTAATTGGTCTTTTTGATAGGTCAGGTAAAAATGAACCTACAATCGGAAAACTTCATTTGCGTTTTTTGCCAGTTAGTAGCTATTCGATACGTAACTCATAGTAATACCATATTGGTTGAACGTCTTTCAAATGATTAGCTATTGGTTTACTATTATTTGTAGTATCTTAGCGTAGGTCAATGAGTACATTTTTGTACTCAACTTTTTTCTTCAACCGATCATTGGTCAATAGGCAAATAACTATTTTACAGAACAATTGATTTATCATAAGAAAGATATTTATAAAGATTGCTACCATTTTATTTCAGATATTTAAATCTCCAAAACGTAAACACGTTTTTTACCACACACTTGTAGCCAAATCAAGTCTGAATATTGAGATTTTGATCATTATGTAGTGTATACTTTATACAGTCTACATAAAATTATTTCAGAATGCCTTAATCCAAGTTCGAGAATCTTAATTTGAGCCTATTTTTATTTTCCATTCATCAACGACCTTTATTTTTCATTTTGATCAAAATGAAAGGTGAATATAGAACATAATTGGCGCCATTTCAAGTAAGGTCAATATCTCTGTATACCATACACATTATTTGATTAGTTATCAATACTTAACATATAAGAAAGTACTTAGATAAAGTTAAGCCATTGTCACACTTATTACACCGTTCTCCAACATAGTAAAAACTTCTTCCAATTTTCGTATCTTTTAATTGATGTGTAAAACAAGTTTACGCGGATTATAACTATCATGAATTACAAAGGAATATAGCCAGACGGAATGAAAAAAAGATCCAATGTTGTTTGTGGTTTGAAAAATATTCAGATTTTTATTAGTATTTCTTTATTTCTGTCTCGCCATCATACACATATGTACACACATATATTAAGGTCTCTCTGTTTGACAAACCAACTGTTTTCAACTGCCTGATGAAAACAGACGTCTGGGAAATTGATATCTAATCAGTGAAACTGGACTTTATGAAGTACCCCCCCCTCTGCGTATACATACATTCACAAACCCAAGGTTAAGAATTAGATGGATCCATGCTCTTATATATAATTTTATCATTGTTCAATGAACTCTTCAAATGCCCTAGAGTAATGTTCATTTCAAACAAATGTCTAATACAACATGTTTCAACAATCATTTATAAGATTAATAGTTGATCAATAATACACACGCATAAATAGTGTTATTGACATGATAACAGTAAAATCATTGGAAGTATATAAATCTTAATAAACTTATCAGTGTAATTAAAACTGCTATAAAATTGGATAAATTCAGTCGTTTTTTTAAAATGAAAAATAAAACTCATATTGTATATACGAAATTGAGCACAAATGTTTGCTCAATCAAATAATATAAAGGGATGGGATGGTATTTATACTCTTTCCTTGGGTAGTTTCATTTCATTTCACTCATTTTAGTAATACTATTAAAGTTTGTACTTTATCTAAAATTAGTAGACAGTTGGGATAAAACACTAGTTGATTTGTTTTATATTGAAATAATGTTGATAGAATATAACGATAATAAGTGAGAATTAATTGATTGAAATCTATTCACTTAGGGAAACAGATAATTAATTAGTATCAGCTTAGGGGTTGTGAAGATTGTTAAGTTTTTGATTGAAATCATGAGTCAATTGAAGCTAGACTACCATGGAAAACCTGGAAGCACTGGACGGCCGTGACCAGTGTCTACCTCAGTACAATGGAAGATGGTCGCGCAATTTCGTGGATTGGTTGAGGTTAGACATTAACACCGTTGGATGCCGGCCGGCTCAGTGGTCTATTTGGTTAAGCGCCTGGCGCGAGGATGACAGGTTCTGGGTTCGAGTCTCGCGGAGTGCGGGATTGTGGATGTGCACTGCTGAGGAGTCCCGTACTAGGACGAAAAAGCCGTCCAGTGCTTCCAGGTTTTCCGTGGTGGTCTGGCTTCAGTTTACTCATGATTTCAATCAAAGAATTAATTAGTACTTGTTAAATGATAAAAGATTTCACTAAAGAAATGAATAAACACTAATTGATCGAACGATTTAAATGATTAACCTTTATCTTTTGATGAAAAGAGCGATGCATTATAAGAACAAAGACAATTATTCATCAAAATAGTTCGTTTCACAAATTGATGTCATATACTTTTGAAATGATCTATTGAAAGGAATCTTTTAATAAATTTTAAAGTAATGTCATTTTTTTTACTTTTAATACAATAATAATCTGAAATCTCAATGTTGACATAGTGATCAATTATTGTGTATTAGAATATACAGATTTTAGTTAAGATAATGAATTTGTTACTTAACAACTAATTGTGAATTATGAGTTGTAGATAATATCATTTATGTCAATAAAGAATTGTGAAGTTTTTATTATGATGACCATTAAAACATAAAGAAGTTTAATTAGATCTAACCAATAAATATCTTTAGAATAATTCATAAAACTAACAGAATCACTTAAAGCTACATGATCAATCTATTCAAATTTGTTGATAAAGTTCCATGAACTTTAAATAAACAAACAAAAAACACAACACATTTCTATCAATTTAATCTTGGTCTCTTCTCAGACTGTTGTTCAGTATTATTGTGAATGATCAAGAAACAGAGTGAATTGAATAAGACTGATAGTTTTCAAGTTGTTAGACAGTTGATTTACATATAGTTTAGTCTAATTTTGAATGGCTCATTGTTAATGATTTAAATCGTCTGAGTTTTAACTGAAACAGTTTATTTTATAGGCAATGATTTGAGCAAAGATAACTCCTTTTTCTATTTCAACAACAAAACGAATAATTGAATTCAATCAAAGACAAGTTAATCAGCTACTTTAACAAAATAAAAATTTAAACAACTTTTATAGATCAGTATATATATTGCTAAAGAAACATTGCAATTCATACCTGGTTGTTCGTTGACAATAGCCACAACATTTTTAAAGACACTGTGACAAACATTCAGAATATCGGTTTTTTCAATTTTATGATATTCTGTTGGCTAATAGTTTGAAGAAATAGAAACAATAATACAATAATGATTTAATATGAATTAACCTGGTAAATAATTAATCATATCCATTTAAATCAAGTTCCAATATAACGATAACAATAATAAATATATGTAACTACTATTTTCATCGAGAAAATAGTGTGTTTAGAATTCGATAACAAAGATGTTGACTATAAGCAAAGATGGATAGTGGCTAGCGGTAGAATCCAGGATGCGCGTTCCATCCTATTTTGAACTTGTCAGTCGGATGTACCTGCATCTCAGAGTTGATGTTCGCTCTAGGACTCGAACCTAGCACAGTTTGCGTTATCCATTTAGCAGTCCTAAACATCAATAGGAAGTTTCAAGTAAATAATACCGATTGGATTTAAACGTATTGACTACTATTTAGTAAATGTTTAAACCTCTTGCTGAGAAATCTTAACCTGACATTAAGCAACCGTCTAACTTCCTCATAGTTACTTAAATGTTTTCCAGCTATTGCCAATTTATTTTAATGAAAAATATATTCAAACCAAATAAATCTTTGAAAAAAAATATTCAAGTAGATATTGAAAATATTTCCATAAGTATATATGTTAATAATTGATTTGGATTGAAATAAGTTAATGATTGTAATCTTGACTGGTCATATGGATTCAACAAAGTGGGGCTCAATATTCAAAGAATATATAATTAAGTCCAATTTACTAATGAGAATATGTATGAGATAATAATTTCATGATATTCCGAAAGGGGTTTAGCGGATATTATAGTAATTTAACAGTTGATATCATGAGTCAATTCAAACTAGATCACCATGGAAAACCTGAAAGCACTGGACAACCGTTTCACCCCATTATGGAAATCCTCAAAAGTGAGCATACACGATCCCGACTCGCGAGATTCAAACCCAGAACCTATCGGTCTCGCATATGAACACTTGACCTCTAGACCACGGAGTTGACAGGCATCCAACGGGGTTAATGTCTAACCTCAACGAATCCACGAAATTGATCGACACATCCATTATTGTCATCAGTGAGCTACTATCTCATAACAGATTTGGTTGAACTCCACTGGTCACTGCTTCTCACTAGAACTCTAAGAAATAACATCTTCCAAAATAATTGTTTAGTATTAAACTTTAGAAATATACCAGATAAAATACTCAATGAACATTTTAAAATGAAATCTTTTCTGTTTGTTAAAAAGAAAAAAATTAAGAAACGGATTTAAGGTACAATGGTTCTAAGTACCTACACTTTAAAAAAAAATAAAAAAGTTTGACTGTAACAGCTACACTTTTCTACTTTGAAAAATGATGTTGATGTGTAAACATCAGGATACACTTGACTTTCACAATGAATCATTCATGTAACATCAAATACTTACAATTTCTTTCAGATTATAATCTGTATTGGTTGTTGATGGATTTGTAGTTGTTAAATACTGAATTGTTACAAAAATAATAGATTCTACTTAAAAAGATCTCACTTGTAATGAATTCTAATATATAGATAAGTAGTATATTCGTTAAAATGTACAAATTGATAGTTAGGTTTTTGTGGATATTGAGAATTGGATACTAGATATTACTAGTTACCATTTAAATTAATGATCTGGATACTACGATTATTATTGTTATTATTTATTAAAATTCATGAATGACATATGAGACACTAACTTAGTGTCTCAATATAACTTGGATAATTATTATAGATAAACATCAGTAAAAAAAATTGATGTACTTCCATATTATTGATCAGGTTATATATTAAACTTATGGTAACAACAATATTTTCACTAAAACTGATGCATTAATCAATCTGTACATGTTTATTTATTTAATCAAGTTTTATAGTCAAATCTAGGTCATTTATACTGTATGTAAAATGTTTATTAGATATGCTCAAACAAGTGCTCAATTTATACAGGATTATCATAAGGAGTGATTATAATAATAGGTCATCTAGACCATTCAGTATACTTTATATGGTTTTTAATTTATCTGCTATATATATAGACAGATTAACCTCAAATTTAACTCATAAATCAATTAAAAATAAAAGGCATGAGGTCAGTTACATCGTCTTGTTATATTTGTTATAATGAAAATTAATACCTCCAGTTACGCTCCTATAAAGTCTGAATTAAGCATGTTGGCGAATGCAAAAATATCCCTCCCGGTATTAAATATATGACATTTATGTTTCATTAAAAATATATCGATTCCTTTATAAATACACTCGACTTCGATGATATATCTTAAATTATTTACAGTATATGAAGTAAAGTATATTACTGTTCAAATTTGTAGTCAATAAAAACGAGCAGTTAAAAATCAAATTGACTAAAGATTCATGTTTTCTACATTAAACATACAGGATACTTGATTTCACGAAGCTGTGCCAAAATCAGATTACGTAATTTTAAATAAAATAGTCAACAGATTAGCTCTATGTGATTTGAATTATGGATTTGTATTTAAATATCACGATTTAAGGATATACATTTCTTGTTTGGTTGGTAAATATAACAGTCGATGAAAAGTCGTCTGATAAATGGCAAAAATTTATCAAAGTATTTGACTATTTAATAAGGAATAATTATATATATATATATATACATAACCATAACACGTAAGTAATTTATTCTTTTTCAGCTCATACGAAACCAGTGATGTGAAACGCTGACACTTTTTTCAATATTTCGAACTCCATAACCACGGTAACACTAAAATGCTTATTCGTCATAACAAATAATTTTATTAGATTACAGCAAAATTCAATGATGAAGAATTTCTTATAAAATAGTTGTAATTATAGATATATTAATATAATTGCTCTTAATATCGTTAACTTTACTAGTAGGAATAGAATTCGAAATATATAACACTGGTTAGACAGTCATACACATATTTCGATGATTAAATTGTATATTCGCTTAAAGATATACATTGTTAGCACTCATGATGTGTATTGAATATATATTATGGATACCCTTAGTGATAAGACTAATCACTTAAATATGGAATATATGGGATGTAATTATCAGTGGAATTCTGGACATGCGTTTCATCCTATTTTGAAATCGTCAGCTTGATGTATTTGAGTTCCAGAGTTGATGTTCACTCCTGGACTGGAATCCAGTGTAGTTCACTTAAAACACCGTCTCATTATCCATGTACTTAAGTGCTGATAATACTCATGACTTCATGACAATATCAAGGCAATTCGTATAGAATGCTCGTATCTTAAAGTAGATTGATCAGTTGCAGGTCTAAATATCAATAAGAAGGTTCAAACAACCAATACAAAATGAATATAAAATTGTGTTTCTTTAACTCAATTTTAAAGAATGACGTGATGTATTTTCTTCAACTCTCATTCAACGGGTCATTTAAATATAGATGAACATCAATCTTAGTAAGTTCATGATTGGAAGTAGTCAACAGGAAACCCCGACTACCTTCAACCACCATCTTATCTTAACATAGTGTACGCAATGTCGAGTCATCCAGACTAATGGCCACATTGCAATTTGATTGATAGGATACGATCTGTACTAAGAAGGATCTGACATACATGAAATTGATTACCATCCAGTGGTCAATCAATTGTAAATCAATTTTAGTTCATAGTACAAATAAGAATTTTTATTACCCTATTTATTTTAGACTAATAAACCTAAAAAATCCAGATTATAAAATATTAAATAAACTGAGTAAAATATTCAAAATAAATTTAAAAAGTTCTCATTATTTAAATAAAAAATTAGAATAAAAAAAGCGACAACTAATAACTTACATCTTTACCAATTAAATTCATAGCTAAATTATGTAATGCATTCATTTTATCTGAGATACATGCACGTCTACGTCGTTCCAGATTTTGCTTTTTCAACTAAAAAACAGATAAACAATATTAATGATAAAATTCTATTTTTGAAATTAATGTTTGATTTATAAAAGTCAGTCAGTTATGGATACAGTGATGATGAGTGCTGTTAGAGTTACGAGGGCGGTTATCATTACCCGGTTGCCCAAATAGTGAAAGGGTTCTTCTGGAGGTACCTGGAAAGGAATTAGGGTTAGAAATGGTATTAGTGACCTGGAAGGGTGACCACAATGCCCAAGGTACAACTGTTTGAGGTCAGTGGTAGTTATATATGATTTTATAAGTAAAAATTACTCAATTAGTTTATGTATTGTTTTGTAATGCACTAATTACATTATTGTATAAGATATCCATTTACAGTTAATCTGTTTGTACTTAGTAATCATCTTTTGATTCAATTCTCCTGTATTATTTGAGACTGAAACGAACTGTTAAGAAAGCATAAATTAATAGTAATAGTGATATAAATTTAATAGTTGAGTTCATGTGTCAATTGAAGCTAGACCAGTATGAAAAGCCTGAAAGCACTGGACGGTCATTTCGTCACACTATGAGACTCCTCAGTATTCAGCATCCACGATCCTGCACGCGGGATTCGAACCCATTGCTTATCGACCTCACGCGCGAGCACTCAACCTCTAGATCACTGAGACGACCAGCATCCAATGATACTAATGTCTAACTCCAACGGCCGTCCACTGCTTCCAGGTTTTCCATGATGGTCCAGATTCAATTGACTCATGAATTCAACTATTGAATTACTATAATATCCACAAAAACCTCTTCTGATAATAAATTTAACACTAAACTCAACCAAGTGGTTAGAAGAGGTTAATTATCATAATAATTTTACACAGTGATACATATTATATGTTTTCGACAAAAAAAACTAATATTCGTGGAAAAATATAAATTAACTCAAATATCATGAATAGATTTTTTTTTTTGAAAATTCATTCAGTCATGAATTCACTCTTAAACTTGATCATTTAAAAAGATCCAGTCAATGGTTTTGACAGATTCATCCTTAAATTTATTTCCCATCCCTGAAGCTCTAGCTCTAATCTAAAGAGTTATTAAGAAATAAATGAGTGTGCTGTTTATTCTGAGACAAATATCTGTCGATTTTCAAGTGTTATCCGATTCTCAATAGTTTTTTTTAGACTGATGTTTAGTTTATAATAAAAATCAGTTTCGAATCATCGAGTTATCAAAAGCCAATTACTCAAGAGGGGAAGAATGTCTAAACTATCAATAATTACTACATCATAATCAATAGATAGGATAGTGTATTCTGATATTATATATTTAAACCTTATTAATTCAAGATTACTATATTCATGTCATTTTGATTACTTGTATTACTACATTTCGTAATTTAACTAATAATGTATTCTATAATCCTGCCACCTTACAGACCATCAGAGTTTTTTCATCCTAATCCATTCAATATAAAGATTTCTTATATAAAAGAGACTGAAATTTAGTTAAGGTGTAAATACATTTCTATAAAATAAATGTCACTAATGTATACATAAATGTATCACCTACTCGTCTTGTTTGATCTCGATATTCCAGAGGTATTGTAGACTGTCGACCGTATTTTTTCGCTTTACATTTATCATTTACACTATGTGTTGATATTTGGCTAGGAGACAACATTGTTGTCTGACAATCATTCATATTCATTATGTGTTGAAAATAGTGAATAAGTAATATATTTACATATATATATATATATATATATATATATATATATATATATATATATATATATATAACTGCATTGTCCGTGTGAATCAACCCCGTGTCCAATTTAATATCCAATCAGAATAGACACGAGTGGATTCCTCTAAACGTGTAAATATGGTTTAATATGTTCACTTCTATTTTCATACCCTTTCATCAGTTTTAATTTTCTTTCCCAAAATCTCCAGCCAATAAGAAACCAATATCATAAATTTTATTTCAGGTGTACTCATTTCGTCTACGTTTTTATTAATAAAAAATAGTGAAGTATAATACTGAAGATAATAATCAGTGTCATTAGGTTAAAGTAAGTTCATATTTTGATGATTTACATTTATTGATAAATATGCTTGTAAGCAAAAACATAAACAAAATAAAAGAGACTTTTTCAAAATTTGTTACATAACCAGCGAATATGACCAACTATGGATCACGAAAAAATTAAAATGACAAAAAAATACTCCATAATTAGACTCACTTTTGTGGATCCGAATTTGAATAGATACATTAAAGAATTTGTTACATTTAAATTTTTTATTTTTTCATTTTGATGTGTTTTAGCTGACAAATTGCTGGAACGGTTATGTGGTATGATTGGGGAGAAACTGTTACTTGTTACAACTGAAGCTATGGCTCGATTCCAGGGAGAAGATAAGAGTATGGATGAAGATTTATTTGTGCTCCGACCACTACTTACCAAGTACATAAAAATATAATGTCTTGTATATGATTAACTAATCTGGTCAGTAGTTACATTTGAATATATTGAACTAAGCAGAAGCTGATAAAAATTAATTAATAACTAAATGGATGTTTACAATTTACCACGTCAAAAGATTTTATTTTATTAATTAGCAATATAATAAATTACTGAGTTACACATTTGCTTCATCCTGACAATAAATAGAGTATTTCTTTGAGAACAAGTTAAAGTTTAAAAATAGCTTAGTATATACAACATATTCTCACTAGAGCCTGACATAAAGAGGTATTTCCTGGAGTTCTGGTGAGAATCAGTGACCAGTGGAGTTCAACCAAGTCTGTTATGAGATAGTAACTCACTGATGACAATGGTGGATGTGTCGATCAATTTCATGGATTGGTTGAAGTTAGACATTAACCCCATTGGATGCTGGTCAACTCCATGGTCTAGAGGTCAAGTGTTCATATGCGAGACCGATAGGTTCTGGGTTTGAATCTCGCGAGTCGGGATCGTGTATGCTCACTTTTGAGGATTTCCATAATGGGGTGAAACGGTTGTTTAGTGCTTTCAGGTTTTCCATGGCGGTCTAGTTTGAATTGACTCATGATATCAACTATTAAAATATAAATATTTTACAAATATGTCGAGAGAGTGTTCTTCACTGAAATTCAGTGGTATTTTAAGAAACGAATTTCCAGTCTACTTTTATTACAAATATCGAATTAATAAATAAGCAAATTAATTGAGAGACCATTTGGGACAAAATTAAGTAACGAGACTATATAACTAATCGAAACAATATCGTATTTCACACAAAGCTATTTAGAATAGATTCTTAGTAAACCAGAAGTTACTTGAATCGCGAAATCTCAGCCTCCACGATATGAATCATTTATTTCAAACATACTGGGTTTTTATATAAACCAAACAGACCATATCGTACTACAAAGTAGAAAATAACATTTGTACAATATCTAACCATAAGTGGCTGTGGATGTGGGAGACTCTAATTAATTGACTGGGCATAACTCAAGAACGGTAAATCGTATAATAATAGTTTATGTATCAAAATAAAGCTGATAATAAGCGGAAAATGAATGTGTAGAGTTTAGCTATTTAACAATTATACAGTAGAAATGTATGCATCGTATTGCTTCATAAATAGTTCTTAGGAGTTACCATTCATAATTCTCGTCGGGATATAACACAGATTCATTCTCATAGGTTGTGGAATGATACAAAGAAATTCATCAATATAAAATATTTTCAAATTACCTTTTTATTTTGTATTTTTCATTTTTATTTTTATGATTATTAGTTTCTAGCTTTTGTTTATTAAGTTAAATCTCATAAAAACAGAATAGTTCGTAACTAATTAATTAATCAATTAATTAATTTAATAGTTGAATTCATGAGTCCATTGAAGCTAAATCACCATGGAAACCCCAGAGGCACTGAAAGGCCGTTTTGTCCTAGTATGGAACTTCTCAGTAGTGCTCATCCACGATCCCGTTTACTACTTTTTCACACTTTGCAAATTAAATTTTACTGTGCATAATAAAACAACACAATTTGTATGTTCATGTAATTAACCAATAAATTTCAATGATTTGCAAAATATTGAATTGATATTTATTGGTTTTGTATTTTCACCTGACAATTAAAAAATATTTTAACGGTGAAAATATTCATCTAAGCAGCTTGTATCAATTACATTTTTATTTTTATAAATTGCAAATAGATGAATCTACATTATAGAATTGTTAACTGTTTCTCAAGAATAAAACTATAGATTAATATCACTGGTTGAAATCATGAGTCGATTGAAGCTAGACCACCATGGAAAACCTGGAACCACCTGCTCACTAGTGACTGACTTCAGGAGATACTCCTCGAGTTCTAGTGAGAAGCCGTTACCAGTGGAGTTCAACCAGGTCTGTTATGAGATATCAACTCACTGAAGACAATGGTGTACGGTGGCGCAACTTCGTGGATTGGTTGAAGTTAGACATTAACACCGTTGGATGCCGGCTCAGTGGTCTAATGGTTTAGAGCTCGCACGCGTCCTGGGTTCTAATCTCGCGGGGGGGGGCGTGGATGCGCATTGCTGAGGAGTCCCATACTAGGACGAAACGGCCATCCAGTGCTTCCAGGTTTTCCATGGTGGTCTAGCTTCAATTGATCCATGATTTCAACCAGTGAAATTTTTAAAAATCTCAACAAAACCCATTCTGATTATAGATTAATACTTTATTTTTAATAATGTCACATAACAACGTCATATATATAAATAACATTTGATAATAAAGCAAGTCATTCAATAGTTGAATAGTGATTGGTTAACCATTTGCTTAATTTCAAGATAAATGATATTGTCTAACATCATTATAATTCTGAGTAGTATCGCGCTCACCATAAGAATTTGGATTTAGGAGGAAATAATGGATGAAAGGTAGTGGAATATTATAAATTAGTGTTCAGTATGGTGTTAATGAGATTTTTGAGTTTCATCTAAGTCATGAACCGATCAATATTAAACCACCATTGAAAACATGGAAGCATTGGACGCCCGTTTCATCTTATTATGGGACTCTTCAGAAGTGCGTATGGATGATCTCATCCCCAGGACTCGACACCACAGCCTTCGGTTTTGCGCACGAACGCTTAACCTCGGGACTAATGAATCAGTAATGGTTATTTACTATGTTGATAGTGATAAACATGTTTATAAATTACATGCATCCCAATAAATCAAATGACATAACTCCCATTCCTAAAAATAAGTCAACTTATTTGGGGAAGTGAAGTAAAATTTATTCGATAGATTTCAGTCGTAAACTGAAAATCTGTTTGATAAAGGAGTTGTATAACCATAGGTTAGTTGTGTAATCTCTTGTTAGGTTGAACAAACGTTTGTATATAGCAAAAATATGTAACTTCTAATAGGTCAGGTGAAAGTTTTTATCCTACATTGTTTTAAATTATGTAAGTGATTTGTTTTTATGATAAGCTCTTTTCTAAATGATTACATAATATGGCAGTATATTTCTTGGACTAGTTTGATTTTAATATCGATGACGTAATAAGTCTATCTCCCTATACATTTTCTTTTTTAATCGTACTCATCAAACTAAAAATATACCACCGAACTAATTAATCATCAATCCTTTAAAGAAATTTGTAACCATTTACCAAGATAATGAAGTAATATAGTTTGGAAGCAATTTAAATTTTTTGGAACAGATAGGTTGTTGGTGTTATGGCCTATGAACAGGATGGTTTAGTGCTTAAAATTTTATTGATCTTTAAGAAAAACCAATCAGATAACAGTTCATTTCTCTTTGATAATGATGTTATAAAGGACAATGAAAGCCTCAATGTCGAATCGACCAGCACAGAGACCAAAATAAATCCAATATCACCGTTCTGATGGATAAATATTTGTAATCATTTCAAAATATATGAATTTTAGCCAACAGTGGAATTCAGTAAACTTGTTTCGTTCTATTTGGTGCTCATCAGTTATATATACCTACATCACAGTGTTGATGTTAACATCCTGCAAATATTCTTCACTTGAGTTTCTGACTTCTTTTGTTGACCAGTCTAACGACTTCCAAATAGAATGAAACGTGGATCCTGGATTCGATTGTCAGCTATCATCAAACCTCATGTAGAATTTTATCGTTAAAATATTTTAAAATGATATTCTAAATAAAACTCAGTATATTTTCTAAACTTAATTACACTCATCACCTCATGTCACACCAGTCTCAAATGAACATATTCTAAAATATGGATTTCGGTGTTTAACCGTGGGTTTGAACAACGCTTGAACCACGTCAGGGCACTTTAATCACTGCTTAATTTGCTGACCACTCTATTGTATTCCGACATTGAGACAGCCATTCACGACCTTTAAATGCAAGCTATAAAACCGGAGTCCCGTTACAGTTTGAATAAACGAATCGAACATGCGAAATGGCTGGGATATTTTGGCTGCCAATCCAGTACTTATTTCACAATTCGGAACTCTTCCTATGTTAAATGATCGCTTTTTGAGTTAACTTATATTTGTGGACCAGCGATTTCATGTATGAATTTCAGGAAGTTGACATTTAGATACAGACTAACAGGGATAATTATAGAATGAGTATCGGCTTAGGACATTACGACAATTAAAATGATCTCTGATCATAAGGTGTTAATGATAAATGTGAACAATTGCACTTATCCAATTGATAAATCA